GGGGGGGGTTCAGGGTTCCCCATCCCACACCGTTAGGCAGCCCCGGCCACGCTAGTGCTGCCACTGTGCCTAGAAAAGAAGGTAACGTGCGATTAATGGTAACTTATGAGTAACCGTAAATTCCCAACCTCGAACGAAAGGTCGGTCCTAAGCACTGAAGGAGCAGGGGCTGTCGTTCCCCTCCGCAGCCTGACGCCGCAGGGGCTCAGGAGCCCACTCTCACGCGCAGCATCCCACCACGGCCCTCACCAGGTACATGCTTGTTTCCATAACGTGGTCCTGCAGGGATGTGCCGTGCTGCAAACAGGGCCCTTGCACGACGTCCTCTAAGCCAGCGTTAATCTCGCACTGCTAGATCTCAGTAAGGTTTTCAGTTCAGAAAATAATTCTTTGGTCACGTAGTCTCTGCCCGGTGCTGCGAGGTGACTCCTGGATGGCCGTGAAGCATGGAGCACTTCTCTGTGGGCATTACCTCTGCATACTCACGGTGAAGTGACTTTCCTCTCTCCCTGATATTTGTCATTTCAGATTTCCACGCAGGCAGAGGAGAACTAAAGAAGCTCAGACTGCATTCAGGCCCTTGCACGGAGCCTGCAGCGTTTCACAGCTGTGTGATTTGGGGAAGGTGACATGCTGGCGGAGTACAGGGACTTCTGTGACTCTGGACGACAGAGCAGCTGAACCACTCAGAGCAAAGTCACCCCCAGTCAAACCCACCTCGGCTCAGCTGACACCTTTTTATCAGTGCTGTGCCAGAGAGATTGTCCGTCACGCACAAATCCTTGGAAAGAGCCACAGGAACCGCAGGGGGAGGGAACTGGAGGATCAGTTGATCTTTTACTTGTGTAAAGGGTCATTACAGAGGGTGGTGAAAAGGCTTGGATACTGAGCCGGGAGCTCGTTGACTGGATAAATTGCAAACTGGAACACTTTCAGGTGCTTCCCTTTATACCACTTTGCCAAGACTTCATCTCTGGGAACTCCTTAGGATCGAGGCTTACTGTTAACCCGTTCAGTCTGCCAGAGTCTGGTGAACAAGCTGCACCCCAACATGAAGTATTGAGTCTGCTGCACCACACATCTATTTTCAGAGTAATTGTTCAGATTCAGAACGGCACAGTAAGAGTTTTTCAGTTTCTTGGCCAGAATAGGGAGAGGGGCTGCATACACCCCTGAGTTCCCCCGCAGTACAGGTTACCCTCTAGAGCATCTGCACGCAGCACCAACACGCCGGAGATGAAGGCTCCTAGAGTATTGTGGCAGGTGCTTGAGTTCATGTCAAACTCCTTCAGTGCAAAGAAATCTTAAATGTAAAGGGAGTGGGGAAAAGGAGCATGAATGTGGCTCCGCACAGGTAATAATCTGAGAAGTCTTTGTGTTTCAAAATTGTTGCATATCCCTACTCTGAGATATCACTGAGAAGAGTTTGCTTATCTCAGCGGTGGGTAGCAAGATGAGCAGCATGGGTTCACTTTGCTCCTTTATTTATGGTTCAGTCGATCCATTAGTCCTATCTGGACTTCAGAGATCTTTTCATGTGCCTCTTGGAAATGTTCCTTCCTTAAGTTTTTCTCCAGTGTGCTGACTGCACTGCACAGCCCACACAACCAAAGAGATATTTTTATCTGGCTGTGTTATATGGCATCTGATTGCATTATTCTTGGCTCTAGGCTAGTGCTTCTAGGACTGTATTTTCATTTGGCTCCATCACCACAAAGGCTGCTTTTCCTGCCTGTACTTTCTCTATCAGCTTTTTGGAAATAGGAACAACACAGAAAAAAATGCAGTAAGTTTTGCAGTTTATTTCTTAATTGTTTAGAAGAGGTCTCAGGATCTGTTTTTTAAACATTCCTCCCATTTTGTGTATCCCAGCTTCATTTTATTCTAGAAAGCACAGGTTCTCACCTATTTCCAAATAACCCCTGGCAAGAACTGAGCAAATTGAATCAGAACAGCACATTAGACTGTCGCTGGAGGTGTAACCCCTCTCCGTATTCAGCTGAAAAGGGAGTGGACACCGAACAGACCTTGCACTGAGGCAGGCAGAACTCTTGCACAACCCTGCTGGGTTTTGGCAGGCAGCTCTTGGCATTCAATCTAGGAGGTGGAACCAGCCAAGATCAAATGCTGCAAACGAACAAAATGGGGGAGGTGGAGGGATAGCAAAAGTCAAAGTACAAGGACGAGATGCCTTATCTCCACGATTTAGAGCGAAACCCCAAGCAAAGCAGATTTATCTGTTGTACAACTCCGCTGCCATCCAAGGAGTTACTCCGGGGAGGGGCTTTGTCCTGCTCGAAACGCCGCTGGTCACTCTACACAGCTTCACTGGGGGAGTCATCCTACAGTTCAATGGGCTTAGAGCAGGCAGAGGAGACTATGAGAAAAACAATTTAAAGCTCCTGTCACCACCACCATGCTGGAGCGAGGCGAGCGCGTTCATCCTTTGTGACGGTGGCGGCAGAGGAACACCAGACAACGAGCTCTGAACACAGTTCCAACTTGTTTTTGAAGGCAGTCATCCTTGCAAGAGCACACAACGGGCCACGTTTAAGGAACTTATGCCTTATTCAAACAAGCAAAAAATTGGCTCAAGACTCTTATATGGAGCTCTTGTGCTGCAAGTATCATAAATAAGAAAAAAAAAGCGCGCCACTTTATTTGCTTTGGCTCATGCAACGCTTTTGCATGCACAGTAGCCCTATCTCGAGATTCCGCGGGGAGACACGTGCCAAGGAAGGCTCTGCTACCAAGCCCAGTTTGAGGTCTGGCAAGATTAGCACTCTATAGATCAGGCTCTTGATTTTGATTATTTTGCTGCTCCGCTTCTACTTGAACAGAAGCTGTGCGAGGCATTTATTGTGCTGGTGGGAAGTTTGTCCTCTGCAAGAAGGGGAAAAGTTGGAGGTCAGAAATCTGGAAGTTTCTCACAGGAGAGAGTGCAGCGAGGTGGGGCAGCTTCGGTGAGGTAGCAAAAAAGGACCTCTTGTATTCCAGCGGTGCGCAGAAGCCCAGCTGGTGTCTGCGGCAAGCGGCAGGTTATAGAGGCAAGGAAGTGGTTGGCAGCACAACGTAAACAGGCCGTTTTCTTTAGGCTCAGCGCTGCAGGCGAGCTGCTACGGCGGGGCAGCACCTACAAGGGTTGCTGCTCAGGCACCAACCATGCAAGCGCTCTCGAGGCGAGAAGAAAGCTGCTGTCACCGACTGGAGTGCAATAGGCTCTCCTCAACAATCTTAGCAATAAAAAAAAATCCGGTAAGAAGACAAATATCCCTGCTTGTGTCAGCACTGAAATGGAAAGGGTTTGGGGGCAGATCTGCTTTTTCCACCGCTGACATTTAGGATTTCCTGCAGGTTGGAAGAACGGAAAGTAAAAGGGACCAGGCTGCTTGGCTGCAGAGGGATGTATGGTGCAAGCTGTGGCTCATGGTGCCCTTTTGAGCTAAAGGGCAGGTTTACTCAGGAAACAAACACAGGAGAGGCAGCTGGCTCACTGCCCAAAACCAGCAGGTCCAGCTGAAAGGATGTGCGAGACTGGTTTGAGCAGCTACTTTCACCTTTTCTGAGCGCTGTAATAACTTGACTTGCATTAAGATGACTGACATCTCACACCCAGCATACTATGCGGCCATCACTGTGGATGGTGTAACCACCCAGCAGAGACAAATGGACTTCCAGATACAACCAGAGCTTAACAAGGAGGGGAAAAAACCAGTTCTGCAAACTGGGACCGTCCTCGTAGCTCGCACCTGGAAAGGGCAGGTCCGAGGGACAGGAGGCAGGAGGGGCACGAAGGGACACAGGCGAGAGGCTGTGAAGGGTGCTGCGCAGGCGTGGAGGATGACTCCATGCCCTCTTCCTTCCAAATCCTGATTACAAATCCACACAGAGCTACAACGCGTGGCAAGTGTAACCATTAACTTTACTGGCGAATCTGACATGACAGAAGAGTAGTGGAACATTAACTTATTTGAGGCCTCACTCAGCTCGTGCCCAGCGCACTCCGCTCGCCCCGGGGCCGGCCAGCACAGCTCCCTCCGCCACCAGCACCGGCCCAGCCAGGGCAGCACCGTCCGTGGAGAGAGCCTGGCTGAAACGGCTTCCATCGAGCTGACAAAGCGGCGCTGGGGAAAGGCCAGAGCACTGACATGGTGTGCAGAGTGGGGCCACGTGGGTGGCACCAGCTTCACCTCGAAAAGCAGCTGTTCTCAACTCTGTTCTTTGTAAAGTATGGCATGAGTCGGTGGTTGAGGATCTTCATTCACGGGACTAACCCCGTCCGTCCCAGAGGCTGGAGGCCTCACTTGGGTACCTGCACAGGTCCCCTGCTCCAAGGTGCTGTGTCCCTTTGCTCCCACGGGTGACACAGCAGCCTCTGGTGGCGAGGTGCTCGAAGAGCCCTGGCAGGGTCCCCACCAAGGGCTGGGTCCTGACCTGTCTCTTCATTAAAGAGCAAAAATCTTCCAGCTGAGCGTGTTGCAAAGCGACTACTAGAATGATTTTCCCTTGTTTCAGACGGATCTGTTCTGCCATACCCTCAGGAAACCTTTGCCCTTTCTATAGTGCTGTGACCTGGCAAACTCAAAACAGGGATGGAAGGGGCAGTTCTGACTGGCCCCACTTCCCACGCGGACCGAATCGCCTCTGTCCTCAAGCAAATCCAGTGGCATTGGAGTACGAAAGAAAAGCTTATAGGGCCTATACACCTGTAGTGGACAAGAGGGGAAAGCAGCTCACTGCAGTCTAAGATGTAGTTTTCCTCCCTTCTAAGTTGCAGAAAGGCTGTGACTGAAGTATATTTTGTGGAATGGTGTTTCTGTGTGATTTTTAGAAGAAATGCTGAAATACTACAATAAGCCTGCACAAAATAATCCATTTAAACTTGGAGTATAACCCCCTAATTCTGGCTGGCCTGCTTTAGGAGCTGGTGCTTGAAGTGTTCCAGCAGTTCAGGTGCAATCTGGTCAGCGGTCAAGTTCTTGGCATTCAAGATCCCTTCGTGGGCTTCCTGGAAGAGCTGCTTCCCCACCGCTTCTTCCACCCGCCGGCGCCATTCCGCCAACTTCGGCCTCTCCTCAAAGAGGTCATAGCCAGCACCTACAGGCTGCAGAGACAGAGCAAGAGAACCCGGCAGGGAGTCAAACAACACGCTTACCAGGGATGGGACCAGAAGGAAGCACAGATGGGCTTTTGGCTCGAGGCAGCACAGTTGTCGCATTTAGGTGGAATTCAGCTCTGGTTCTTAGCTCATAGGAAGCAAGTGGTGTCATCCTCAGCAGCTGCGGTCCCCTGGGACGTGCAGTGAAAGAGCACTGCCCTTGCTAACCCAAGAGCTGCCTGATGCGGAACACGGAGGTCCATGCACACCAACACATCTCTTCCAAATATCTGTACTTTCTCTGCCCAGTTTGTAATTTATCTTTTTTTCTGAGAAATTTTGTCCATACTTCTATCGAGAGAGGACCATCTCATCAAAGCGGGTATTCCCTGGCAAACTTAATTATGGCTGAAGTCAAAAAGGAACAAGATTTAACTCCGCTAAAGAGTTAAGTGCAGAGAGAAAGATCTTCCTCGGCCTGGCCTGCCCACCACCCAACTTACGTATCCAGCAGCGCTGGGGTTGATGCCCACCTGCATGAGCTCCACCAGTGCTACGAGGTCTGCCAGGGAGATCTCGCTGCCTGCGATGAAGGGCTTGTCCTGCAAGAACTTCTCCTCAAACTGCTTCAGGACAACGTTCAGCTCTTCAGTAACACCTTCCAGTTTCTCTGGAGGAAGTGGCTGGCCTGTGAGGAGAGGCAGCAGCACCTGGCAGGGAGAAGAAACAGGTTGCGTTTTACATGTTTCCCTCCAAACTTAGCCCACACCCTCCCACTGCCGCCTTCCGAGGATCCCTCACCAGCCATGCAGGAGAACAACTGGTACCGCTCATCTCCTTTGGCAGACTAACATTAATGTCAGTCATGACTTCCTGCCTGTCCTTGTCTCCTCCCTAGAAAGTCTGAAATTTCAGCCACGAGAGCCTCCTCTCAAGGGAAGGCTGCATCATCTGCAAGGAACTGCATTTTGTTTTCCAACGGGAGGTCCGTTCTTTCCATGAAGCTGGGCAGCAGGCAGCGAGCTGTGCCTGGTGATAGCTGCTCACCCGGGACGGGTTCGCTCCAGACCTCACAGAGCTGCAGCACGAAGGATTCAGGCCACTTTAGTTAGGCTGGGCTGAGCAGCCACGTCAATGCCAGGTCGAGTTTTGTTCCTGTCTGTCACCTGGCTTGTACATTTGCTCAGAAAGGCCCTGCACACAGGAAGACCATCGCACTCACAGCTTTTAGCACTTACTTTTTGGTATATAACGGTCTCACCTTTGTTAAGAACAGCTTGCTCCCCTTCCCACGAATGTTGACGTGCTGCCATGACAGGTACTCATCAACCCTCGCCCTTTTCTGCAGGTCAGATGGGTACCAGTGATCGGGAGTCTTGAATTTCCGGGCCAGGTACAGGAGGATTGCAATGCTGCCCAGAGAGCAAGACCGGTGAGATGATAACCTGACATTAAAGCACCTCGTCCTTTCTTTTTCCCCCAAATTTTGCACCCCTGGACCAGCAGCAATACAAACCTGATCTGAGCCAGGTAGAAGTGCGGGACACATAACTGCCAGTGAGGCACGGCACAGGAGAGTTTGTGCTGGCTTGACCGGCTGCTTGTGGACATCAATTATCTGACACATCTGCCCAGCGAGACAGACATTAACCAAATACGAACCGCAGAATGAGTTTATACCAAATTGAAGCTTCGTGTTGCCTGGCCATCCAGCATTGGGTGCCTTATGTCAGATTTACTGCATCGACCCACAGCCTTCAGCTGACGGCAGAGAGCAGGAGGACACACGGACACCTATTTAAGCTCAGAAACGCTGCCTACGTGCAAGCTAGCTCCGAGCAGCACCTCACAGATTTTTCCACGATCAACACTGTTCAAGTTGCTTACATGAGAAAGCTTCTCTTGAAACACAGGTTTATGTTATTTACAAGTGGAACAGATAGGAAGGAGGCAAACAACTACTTGGGCTGGAGTCCTAGCAAAGACTAAACAATGCACTGGAAGAGTGCAAGCATTAGGACAAACAATACTGCAGTAAGCGGTTGAGCGTATTTGAGCCTCACCTCTCTGCTAAGGTGAAAGAACCATCCCTTAGCGCGGGCACCTTCATCAGGACGTTCACCTTCCGGAACTCCTCCGTCCTGTGCTGCCCTGAAGAGGGAAATGAGAAGTTTTACTTGGCAGTTGTGGGAAATGGTACAGGCGATAGATAAAGCGGCAGCGTCCCACAAACATCAAAGACCGGTGCATCTTGTTCCTCCTCCTGCTGTTCACACGAGAAACCTACGCTAAGATTAACAGAACGTAACAAAGGACTAGCCAGAGGTAACGTGCATGACTTCTAAGATCCTGCAAAACAGAAACTGAGGCTGACAGCCAAATGGGAAAAATTACAAGAATGTGATAAACTAACTGAGAGTATTGAGCAGTGGAACAGGAGAACCAAAGAGGCGGATATGTAAATATGCCCTGTGATTGGACCCTGCTGCTGTTTCTTGTGATGCATGTAAGGGAGAGTTAAGAAGCAATAAACGGTTCTGATTCTGGTTAAGCACATCAGGGTCCGTGAAATCATTCACCACACGCAGTGATGCTCAGGACCTGTCTGCAAACACCCGAGAAGTCTGTGGGGCCAGCTGGCTTCAAGTTCCTGGCTTTAATTGTACAAATAAAGTCTTGTTTAAGCTTATAAGCAATCAAAAAGAATAGGGGGTTAATCCTATGACATCAGCTTGCTTACTTGCTTATTGCCTGTATGCCAGGACCACCTCCCGACAAAGGTCAGAATGGTTAAGAGTCCTTTCATACCAACAGCGCTGGTCAAGTCAGGGCTCTGTCAGCTCTTAAGTCTGTGCCTGGAGGTACCTGTCCCGTACAAACACAGAGCGAACACCCAGCACCTTGGAGGAAAGGGATCTCGGCATCAGAAATATGAACCACAAGGACATTGGGAAAGCAGATTTTTTAATTTTTTTTTCCTGGACAATAATGTAATTTATATTCAATTTTCTTTTAAGTCCTCAGATGAAAATAAATTTCTATGATTCTACACAAAGCCATGAGTACTTCACTACAGATCTATCAATCAGCGCTCTCTATGGGTTCTGCATCTCCCTTATCAGAGCAAATACGGATTTTAAGCTATCTTGTAGGTCCCCCTAGAAAGGCAGGCAGAGTGAACCTGACAGGAGAAGGTGCTTTGCTCATCTGAGGTCTCAGCGTGCTCCATTACTTTTGAACCCAGCCCCAGAAGCCTTGTTTTATGTGACTCGTTCGTGCCATCCTTTTCCAGCCGCTGGCTTCAGTCACACATCTGCACCTCTCTATTCAAGCTTCTCTAACCTCTAACCCTGCGCTGTGTCCTGCTACGTGAGTGAAAAATCTCTGTGCCAGAGCAGATGCTCTGGAAGCCGTTGTAGTTTTCCCAGCATTTGGCAAACCCTATTTGTGACTATTCTTGGCTCACAGCCCATCTCCGCCACCCCCTTTCCAAAAGACATTGGGATTTCCTGCCTCGCTGTCCCTGCAGCCTTGTGTCATTTCTGCCCATTCTCACTCTTCCTACCCATCTCCTTGAGACCTACCCTACTGGGGGCTTTTCTGGGGGGACACGTTTAACCTGCCTGCTCAAATTGAGTATACGTTCCCTCACCTGGTCCTTACATACCGTACAGCGATGGGTATTAGTGCGGCAAGGCCAGCCGCACCGTATCCCTGAGTGAGTGCTCATTCGGGGGCCGGTGTGCCCACAGCTGTCTGCCGAGCAGCTGGATGCGGCGCTAACCCAGCTGCAGGTACCAGGAGTGCTTCCCCACGGCGTGGGAGGTGCACACGCTGCAGGAATGGGATGCACCTTCAGCATTCCCGTAAGCCAAATTACCCATCTTAAATCCACTGACCTAAAGCAAGCGCTGATGCCATGGGGCACAGAGCACTGGGAAACTGTGATTTAATTCACTTTCCTTCCTCTCGGTTCCCCGATACCTGTATTTCAGTTGTTCCATTCTCCTTGATGCCCTCATTGCTTGCCTGCCAGTCTCCTCTCCTTTGTACCAGTGTCTCACCACAACAGTTTATTTCTTGGGAAAGACGAGGAAGGACCCCAGATGAGCCTGCCCCCAGCTACAAACAACAGCAAAATTTTTTCCTACGAGACAGGCCAGAGGAAAGCCGCAGTAAAGTGCAATCCATGCACAGCTGAGGTGTGCAGGGGAACACCCAGAGACTGAACCACAACACGCCTGAGGTTTCTTTGAGTTGCAAGCTGGAGCCTCTTTTTTTCCTTTATCAATTTCAGCCCCGGGAGCCTTCTCATCTTTCGTTGTTCTTAAGCACTACTTACCGAGGCATCTTTATGCCCAATACATTACCTTAGTTTCAAGTCCAGCGGAGCCCTGGAAAGGTTGAAGGACAGCTTTTACCAGCTTCAGTTACAAAGAGAGAAGATAGAGATCTTTGGGCATCCTTTGGTTGAAAATACACGCTACCTCTTGGGCAGGCTCCCACCAGTTATCAGTTGGTTTTAATACAAACTAAACCACTTTCCCTTTTTCATTTCTCAGCGCTCAGATGCCTGGCGGCTGCGTTGTCTCGCTCCACTGCCTTCGTTGTCTTTGCAAGCCTGTCCTCAACCCTCTCGAAATTTTTTTAAAGAGCTGGCCCCGACGGGACAGCCGAAGGGGTGGCTGGCTGTCCTGCCCCACCTGCACGTGGGGAGACACCGGCAAGCTCAGTGCGTGAGGACCCTTCCCAAGGGGCTCTTAACCCCTGCTCAGAGGAGGAGAAAACCTGCTCTGGAGGAACCGCCGCTGCTTACCGGAGCGCAAAGTTTTCTAAGGAAGTTGAATTAGAGAGCCAGAACTACGGGCTCGGCCGCCCATACGCGAACGTCCCACCTCTGTTGTTTTTTGTTTTCTATCTAAATGGGAAACGGCCTCAGACCCAGCACATCCTGAGAGCTTCTTCTCAGAAAAGCGGTCGTTTTGTCAGAGACCCATTTTCTGC